CTTCAGCAAATGCCTAGGGGCCTTGAGACCCAGATGACACTTCTCTCAATAAAGGAGAGAAGAGTATACACACAAAGACACTTACAATTAACTCCACAATCCTGATAATGAGCTAGACGACCAGAGTTCAACTCCTGTCTCTCTCACTTGTTAGATGTGTAATTTAATCCCAGAAAATTCCTTAAAATGTCTCTGAACCTTATTTTTCTCATCCACAAAACTTGCCACAATTTAGGCAAACCTAGGGTGTCCTATGAGCACCCACCTTCTGGATATTTATGAATGTTCAAAAAAGTGTCTTTAATATATAAATATGGTTCTTTTTATAATTTTCCCCTCTTAGTTTTGGGTGCTTTAGAAGCTATGATTCCTGTTGCATGCATTCTTCAGTTCCCATCTTTTTTGAAAACTTCCCCATGATGACTTCTTGATTCTTCCCATGTAGAGTCACTCACTTTCTCCTCAGTTCTTCTATATCACTGTACATAACTTAGTTTCTGTTTCTTATCATTACAAGCCTCACATCATAACTACAGAGAGTATTCTTTAGTCCAAGTTATGGGGCTTTAATGTCAGACCACCCTAAGTTTAAACCTAGACTTAAATACTATTTACAAGACCATAGGCAAAGAATTTTTCAGCAGTTAGTTTAGATGAGATCCATGAGCTCCATTTTATAAATAAAGGAAATAAGTTTGGAGATGCCATCTCATTTAATCTTCCATATCAACTACATAGCCTAATTCCTGAGCTGGTCGATGCTCAATATATGTAGGAGACACAATTCTTTCTTTTTAGATAGTCCATTAAGACAGGGGGATTTTAAATCGCATGGCTCCCATAATACTAGGATTCGCTTAAAAATACTAGGACTGGAATAACTTTAAAAAAAAAAAAAAGAGTATATCATGTGAAAAAAATAAACAGGATACCATGTAATATATAAATGTGTGTTAACTAAGAAGAAAATAATAAAAACAGACATTAGTTTAATGATACAATTTCTGTCTTCTACAATCACCATAAAGAACAATAACTACCATGAAAACAATATATGCAAACACTATATGGCCAACTGAGTAACTTTGCAAAGAAACTTTGTATAGCAAATAAAACAGTACTGGAATTGAGGAAAATAAAAATATGTTGAAAACTACTTCCTGCAATATACGTTCTCCAATTATTTTTCTCCACAAAAACACAATAATACAAAAACATCTAAATCTAGCTTCACAATGTGATGCATTAAATTCTAATCCCAGGTATCATAAGCCATTGTTTTGTTCTCAAATGAAACCTGCATTTAAAACCTTTTACCCTCAATCCAATTAATTTTAAATTCAAGGGAAGATTCAGAAAAACAAAGAGCCACCATTCCAGGTTTTTAGTAATGTATAAGATTGTGAGACAAAAAAATTACAAATGTAAATTTATCCCAAGTAACTTAATCGGGTATATGTGTGAATATATATATATATATATATATATATATATATATAAATAGAAATATATGTGTGTGTGTGCGCATAAATATATTCTTTTCAATGTTGATATTCATGTTTAAGTTGTGCATTTATATAGCTTTTATAGTGATGCCCACTGTTACCTTATCTTTTTGACTGACAATGATGGGATTTCAGTCATGCTCAGCCTGTCCGACAGTGCCAGTGATGGGATTTTTTGAAATCTTATTACTGGTTGCACTGCCCTGATCTCAGATGGAACTTTCAATCAAAAAGGCAATCAGAAGGTTATACATTCCTGAGATTCCCTGCAAAGCCAGTGATCGCTTAATACAACTTGTTGGAAGGGTCTACTTGCCTCCAGTACTTATGTGGCTATAAAGAGTAATTGGCTACTTAGCTCTCAGCACCCGCTTCTCCGTCTCCAAAATACAGCATAGCCCAGCACTCTGTTGGGTCTCAGTGTGGAATCTGGCTGCTCCTAGGAGATTTCTAAGTCTCACGCAGAGTCTTGTCTTACTTTAAGCATCTGATTAAGCAAACTCTCTCCAAGACACATTTTGTTCTTGCTAAGCATTCTCACTTTACTGGTGATGCTAGTAAATCTAAGTTTTCTTTTATTTTATATACACACAAACACTTACCCACACGTTTTCCCAAAGCATTTTCACTGTAAAGTTCATATCCTAGAAATCACAATTCTGTGTGGCAAGGTTAACACTTGAATTTAATTTCTAACATCTTTTAATCATCCTATTATAAACTATTCTTAACCTTATAATGGTACTCTTAAAAGATTATTGCAAGGAATGGCCTCTTAGTACTCTATAGTATACATATATGGATGTTTAAGAGACATTTTTATAGTTGGATTTGATCAAAAAGTGAACAGGGTTGAGGCTAAATTGATCCCATGTGGTGTTCAATTACCCAGGATGCATCAGTTTCCCAGACAGGAACCTTGAATTGTGAAGTAGTTGGAGAGAGATAATTTTGTCTCACTTGTGTCCAACTCACTGATTCTTCCCAGAGAACCTTTAGGCAGGGATAAGTTTCAAGAATGGAAAAAGACTAATGCTTGGGACACAATAAAGACCTATAGACACATTAAAATCCCTATGGACTTAATAAGCCTTTTATTTGAAAAATAACCATATATGTATATGTAAAATGTATATCAGTATTGCTGCAACATAAAAAAATGCACAGAGACAAAAATAGTCACTTTAGTAAAGTTAAAAATGTATTATTTAAAGAGTTCAGCACGGAGTACTCAAATCCTAAAAGTTTGGGAACCTCATCTACCTCCTTTGGTTGAGAAAGTCCTGGCAAGTCTATTGCTAAAGTGAAAAGTACTTAACTCAAGTTGCGTGTGTGTGTTCCTCAGATCTTATATAAATTCAGAGTACTCTAAAAGTATGGTTCAGGGCTGGCCCTGTGGCTTAACGGTTAAGTGCGCGCACTCCGCTACTGGCGGCCAGGGTTCGGATTCCGGGCGCGCACCGTCGCACCGCTTCTCCGGCCATGCTGAGGCTGCATCCCACATACAGCAACTAGAAGGATGTGCAACTATGACATACAACTATCTACTGGGGCTTTGGGGAAAAAAGTAATATAGTTCAGCCCTAGTATGAACACGGTGTTATTTACTTGATTTCATATTACAAAACCTTAAATGGGCTTTTAAGCACAAAGTGCTAGCATGGTTATGGCAAACAAAATCAGCAAGAGATCCACCTTTTCATTCTCTCTTCCTGGGCAAGGTGAATTTTGAGGTAAGAGTTGGGCAACTGGTATACCAAACATCCTCTCCTGCCCACAGAAACCACCATATGAAGATTATCCTATTGATTGCCAAGATTGGAGAATATGGAATTTATATTCCTGAAAGATAGTGTAATTGTTGTAAGACGTGTATATGTCTGTGATCTATGGCACTTCACTGAGAAGTACACTAGAAATGAATATGGTGTGCAAGAGATAAGGAGAGAAACAACCTCACCTTGGTTTAGAATGTGTAAGATAGTCGAGATATTAGTATTGGTTACTGCTACGACTACCATTAATAATCTACATTCACCAAGTATTTGTTTTAGACACGGTGCAAAGTCTTGGTTTATTTTAAAGTCACTATCATTTTAGCCTCAAGAAAAAATGTTCAATAGCCACAGTGATAAGCAAAAAAGACAAACTATTCTCAGGCAATAGGAACCCAACAAGGACTCTGTTAAGTCAGCGGATAGTTGTAAATTCTAAGTGTAATGTTGAAACGTGTTGTTTCTGTCACAATGGAGGCAGCCTCCAGAAGTTTGTGTCTTCACTTTTCTAGCCAAAGTCATGCTCTTCTCAAGCAGCCTCAGGCCAATGACTGAGATGGCGGGGGAGATAGAGCTTAACTACTTTTGCCCAACAAGAGACTCCTCTAACAGGCTGTCTTTCACTTAGAACCCCCTATTTGGCTGGCAGAGGTTTGCCAGGTTGGTATTACACTCTAAGGCTCTCTTCCCAAATCCTGCTCCCGGATCCCTTTACTTTCACAAGTTTTATATCTGCATCCCTGTCTGAAGGCTTTCCCTGCTCAATCCTGCTTCCTCTTTCTTTTATCTTTTACTCCAAACTCTGCTTCAGGACCTGATTGACACAGCTGGACTAGCCTTCACATACACCATGTTCCTTTAAAGTCCCTGTTGGTATCTTGCTGTGAGATCATTGCCAAGCCATTTCCTCTTTTTGGTTCTTTGTAATAAAAACTCTTGCAAATAAAAGTGATCCTTGGAATAATTTAGTTGAACCTCCTAGAATTTTAGTTAGAGTTGATGACTCTGTTAATAGGTCTTCATCTGATTGGAAAAAAAGAGTAATGACAACAAAGGTATTTATAAAAATATATTTCACAAAGTAGGAAACAATACAGGAGTTTCTCTGAATACAATACATGGAGTAAATAAACAATATTGCATTAAAGCAAAGTAGAAAATTAAAATGATCTGCATGTAGTACTTTAGTTTTATCATACATTTTCTACTCCTAAATGGCAGGTTTGCATTACAAATTGAATATGCTCATATCTTCTAGTGCTGTTCTCTTTCAGAGGCTAAGATGTTCTGTGCATCACCACGAAGATCAGGGAAAGAAGTGCTAAAAACAGAAGCAGTAAAATTATGTACAAATCAGTTCCTGCTCTAAAACAGTGGGGGAGGAAACTTGAAGCATGTGTATTGGGCAGGACATTATGCAGGTATCTAAAAGTCTAGAGTTTAAATATTCACATGAGTCAATATACTTTCAGATGTTTGTGCTTGTAGTAAAAACACCAAATACTAGGATTATGAACAAAATAGAAAACAGTCCAAAAGTTTCTCTGGGAAAATGCTGTTCCTGCCCTCACCAGTCACAATAACACTTTCTACTCTAAAGAGACTATTAGCTCCCCTTTTGATAATATTGCCTGCCATACTTATCTCATCAAAATGTACAGGTATTAAACATTCATTGTATATATATTTATATAAAACAATCTAAAGGATTATTAATGGATATAATTTAGTTTTTTGCCATATAGTCCCTTAATCTATAGATTACCAACCTTAATAAATAAAAGCATTAATGGACATCAATAAAATATTTATTTCGAGGATTAAACAAATTCACACGCTAGCAATAAAACCATCTGTCTCTTATGTAGTCCACCGTGTGATAACAGTTTATCTTTGTGTCCTTGTGGAAGAAGATGAAGTGGAGGGAACGAGTAATCCTGCTTCCAGAAAACAAGCCTGTTTGAATGGGATTTCTCTCCTCCCACCACTGAGTTGGCAATCCCCACCCTGGAATGGATTACGAACATGTGAATATTTTAAGGCTCGACACAATATTTAAAGATACTCTTCAGTCTCTGATGAATGGGGCCAACAATTATGTACAATGTGTGGTCACTGTACTGTATAATCTAGGAGGCCTCCCAAAAACTCCAAAAAGTCAGAATGTACAGCAGACCAAGTATTGCTTTAGCATTTGTGGCGGGATCCTTATTTGTGAAGGGGAAAAAACCATTTGCATTTATAAAAATCCTTGCAGAAGACACATATCAGCAGCAAATTTCTTGCAGGTCCATTTTTCTAAGAAAGCACCTTTTAATTTTGATTTTTTCCTCTGTTTAACCATTTCTCTAAGGATTAGCCAGGATCCCAATCTTTGTCTATGGTGGTCAGGTAAATATCAAATATCCAAAGACTTCTAGACACTCCACATACTTTAATTCACACTCCACAAGATTTGTAACCTCCTAACATAAACTTTTTATTATTAACTTTTTGGTTCAACATTAAAATGTAGTTGAGTTTATAGATGATTGGTGCTAAACTTGCCTCTAAAACAAATAGCCACATTGGTTGTATCTAAGGGGAGTGACCCTAGAATATTACAGAATGCTCAGTTTCATTGATTTATTTATAATCCACTGTCAAGTTTCTTTATCACTTTCACCAACAGAGTAGAGTTCACCCAGTCTCTTAAAGCGAGGACCCCAGTCACTGAGGTAGTCAAAATTCTGGTCTGAGTCTGAAGTGGTAGACTCCAAGGAGCTGAGGGATCCAGCCACAGACCCTCGGCCTTCATAGCCATAAATCTGAATGGAGTCATATGGTGGGGCTGTGGGGTCATTATCTGCCTCATGTAGCCGCACATTTATAAATTCATCGACATCAACACCATTCGGAACTGGAGCAAGCCCTTGCCTTGGCATAAACTGTAAATCTGGTTTAATATCTTTACGGGGTAAAAATCCATTAATTCCATCTGGGTTTTGTAAAGTTGCAATGTCAAAAGCCTCTGTGTCTTCCTCCCCTCCTCCTTCGTCATCATAGCGAATGATGTTTTCCCGCACATCTTCATCATCTTTGATAATTAACGGCTCATTTTTATGTCGCCGCAGAGTTACAAACAGCACCACGATGACTACAGGAAAAATATGAAATAACAATTAGCCAAACTCGCATATAATTTCACAAGCAACACACTATGTATGTTAAGAGAGAAGGGCATTATTTAAAAACTTATGAGCATACAGCTTTAATAACATTCACTTGGGAATTAACTTAAACACGTTTCTGAAGGATGAGCATAGAATTTTGAGTGAATACTATTCTAGGTTTCTTCTGTTTGCTACATGGTGATGAAGCTGGGTTAAAAGAATAAGTTTGCATCTATTCATGGTGAACACTGCATTTAATACTGTTATGAGCTCTAGAGAGAAAGGCTTAAAATGGAAAACACACAGATAGCATAACTAACTTGCTGTGTATCTTGGGCATGTCATTTAATATCCTTTGATTCCATGCCCCTCTTCTATAAAGAAAAAGGAAGAGAGTAAATCATATCCAGTATATTTTGTGTTTATCCGTTCTTTAAGATTCCAATCAAATACTGTTCATTCACAGATGAAGTGATATAACAAGATGAATGTCAAATTTGCTTGGGCAACTTCTTGTCTTGTATGAAGGCTGGAACCCCTCTATCTGGGAAGGTAGGCCTAAAGGTGGGGCCTAAAGGGAGAAGAACACAAACCCAACTAGCCAGATCAGCCAAACCAAACTTGAGCTAATGGGTTAAAATATGTCAGGAAATGATGTTCAATCCACGGCACCAGGTGAGCGGGACAGATGTAACTGGGAAGTTAGTAGCTGACATGACCTTTACTTAAGGTCAGGATAAGAAATCATTTTTCTTTTGTATATCTTCCTACTGTCTAATCTCATTTTTATAATTGGATTTTTTAATGGAAAAGTTACAAAAACTCTTCCTTAATTTTCAATCTTCACTTTGATTTTAAGATCAAGAAAAATATCTAAGGAAAACAATATAATTTTGATGAAAATATGCTTTTTGTCTGCTTGTTTGTTTTTGTTTTTTTGTATCTCATCAAACTTTGTGATTGGATGGACTCAGCAACCTATTCTATACATTGTTTCTATAAAAGAGTATTTTGGACATATGAGAGCCCCCTATGGAAGTAAAATGATGTTATCAGAAGATCTGGAGGCCTTATATAATAGATGCTTTTGTAACCACATAAAGGCCCATCCCTACTTCCACCACCGTTATGCTCAGTCTATCTTTTCACTGGAGACGGGATTGAAAAAGGCACTGAATAGTCCTCTCCAATTGGACATTTACGATCACAATTTTTTTTTTTCTTTACTTCCTCTTAGTTACTTCAAAGCTTGGAGAAGTGCAGACAAGTTCTTTTTCCTCAAAAGAATGTTGATACCTGGCTGGGTTAGGTTTGCTGTCCTTATATACAGTCATTTATGAACCAGAAAAATGGTGACCATTATGCCATGAAGGAAATACGTACCTAGCAGCAAAATGATGCATGCTAATATGGCAATTAAGGCGCCCATACTGAGTCCAATTGGAAGTACATAAGCTTCAACATTACAAGACTGGACAACACCATCACTGCTACAGCCACACACCCGGATGGTCAGGGTGCTGGTGCTGCTTAGAGGAGGATTCCCACTATCACTTATTACGATTGGTAAAAGGTAGACTTCTTGCTTCTGGCGGTTGAATCCGTTATGCTTTGCCAAAATGCTGAGAGAATTATCTGGAAAAAGTGAAAATTACAATAGTTTGCATCATTTCAAAATGCTTGCCCAAACAACACTTGTTTTTCTAGTTCATAAATCCTCTGCAAGCCTCAAGACAATACCAACTCTGCTGGACCACTCAGGCTCTGCCCGCCTCCCCTCTTCTCACTTTCCCGGTTAGCATGGACCCAAACATCTATACCCTAACAGGTTCGATGAATGGGGCCACATGATAAATTAATAGAGTTTTATAGTCGTCTTATAAATGCAAAAGATTTCCTTTATAAAAATAATCTTCAAGTGTCCTTTCAGAAGACACAAATTACCCCAAGTCCCCATCAATAAGTTTAATTTTCTCTGATTTATCCTGATAATGCAAAATTGACTAGACAGAATTTCACCACATTTGAAAGGAATGTTTGAGAAACTCTGTATTAAAAGATAGATTATATGACAATATGGCATACAAAACAATTCACTTTTTAGACTCTCACAGGTACCTAAAAAGAGTCATTCATGCCCTAGAGCATTTATACCAAGATACAACAAAAGTCCCATTTACTGCCAATTGGAGGAGATATGCCATATATTTTAAAATTATGTAAACAAGAGCTGTAGTGGTTACACAAACAAGAATAAAATGAGAAGTCATAGGAGCAGGTGTTCCATATTGCACATGTCAATTAGTTATATGGAGATATGTATTAGTTACCTGAAGCAACGCTTAAGGACATTTAAGCAATATTTAAGGGCATACCTCAATTCAAAGTTAAACTGGTCAGTGAGAAGTGATTGGTCTCACGTTACCCCTATGGTTCTCAAAATTTCACTCCCAAAACGATTTTTTTTTGTTGTCATTCATCCCTATCACACAAACTATAGTCATACTGTATATATTAGTTACTAATCTATTTTCTCATTTTGATTAATGAAAGACACATATCTACTCAACATGGGAACACTGATTATCTCACACTGATATTCCAGCCAAAAGCAAATAAACGTAATTTTGATTAATGTGTACAGTGTTATTTGGGCAAAATGATTATTTCAGTTGGGAGTTTTTCAAATATTGGCAAGTTTGCAGACCCCAGAACACATGTCTACCTCATTGTTGCATATTAAGATGGGAATTCCAAACCATTGCAGTTCAAGTCCTGGTCATCAGTGTTCTGTTGGTTTCCAGAATACTCAAAGACATGAAGAGATATTCCACTCAAATGACTTCAGTAAATATGTTAAATCTTCTATACCATATGGTGCTATACTAGGAGTTTCAAAAAATGACAGCTATTCCCTAGAATAGATGTATAACTTATATTTATTTTTGCTTTGTTTAAGAGATAAGTGGGCCTATAATGCCTTACTAGTAAGCAATCAAACAGAAAAAAACACTCTGAGTTAACAATTTTTTCCTAAATTTCTTCTGGTTGGGCCTCATTATTCAGTAATCTGAAGAGTGAAAAGAAGTCTCTAATGGATTTAAGCAGTGATATACCAAATGACCCAGTAATCTTTATTTCTATGACCTAGAAGGAAATATCACTAAGCTAAAAGCCGGAGAACATTATCTCAAAACAGTTACAGAATATATAGCTGTGTTATATTTTCAGCAAGGGTGTGACAAGTTTGAGTACAGTTAATTGGTGCAAGGAACATTTGCGGATGATTTCATATACCATAGTTCAAAACAGAAGATGGGAATTGTTCTTCAAGATGCAATTAATAAAATCACAATGAGGCTTTTGTCTTTTTGTGGTTGAAATTATTTATATGAGAAACTATCTTTGCATATTCTCTCTTTAAAACAATCTGTAATAATAATTTAGGAACTGCAGCAGGAATATTACTGGTTGCAGATCAAAGCTGCCTCCTTTATTACTTAGAAAAGCACTAGTGGGTCTAACACTAAATTCATACTCGTCTTTTTTACTACTCCTGGCATCTGCATATGTTGTTCCTCTTCTATATATAGAATATTATGGACTGAGTAAAAGAAGTCTATGAGTAATTTTTGCTAAATTTTACGTGCTACCTCCAGGCAAAGTCAATTCCCCATTTGCCTACTCATTTTATTTTTTACCATTTTTTGATTAGTGTTGGCATTTATGAATGATTTCTTTGAGTTGTTTTATTGGGCCAAATGAACCTGTCATTGTTGTACCCATTAAAAAACCCACTAAATATCAGCAATTTAACACAGTTCAAATTCATGTATTTGAAATACATTTTTTTAATCTACATGTTGCAAATATCTTCTATGAAGCTGTGGTTTGTTTCCTTAAAACGTACGGTGCCTTTACATTTTATTAAAATTTTAATTTTAATATTGTCAATTTTGTCAATCTCTTTTATGATTAGTGTTTTTAACCTGACCTTAAAGATTATTAATTATATAAACTTTTCATAACGTTACTTTTTACATTTAGGCAAGTATATGGAATCGATTTTTTTCTGCACTGGTTATTGATTTTCCCAAGGTTAATTACAGAGTAACTTATCCCTTACCCACTTATCTTCAATGCTCAGTCTCTCACAAATCAAATTTTTGTGCTTCTCCATCCTTTTAGGGGCTCTCTAGTATGTTCCAATGCTCTATTTTTCTCATAGTGCATCAATACATGCTTTTCATGTATAAAACTTTATAATAAATCTTGATGTTTGTTAGGTTATTTACCTCTATTGTGTTCTTCTTGAACTATATCTTGGCTATTCTTTCCCATTTGCTAATCCCTAACAAATATAGAATCATATTATCAAGTTCTATGAAAATTCCTATAAGAACTTTAGCAGAAATTATATTAAAATATAAATCAATTTTGAGAGAATTGACATCTTTATGACCTTTAGTCTTCTATAACAAGATTATAGTTTTTTTATCTTCTTTAACATATGTCAATAAAATGTTTTTATTTTGGTTTCAAGAGATTTTCCTGTTTTGTTAGATTTATTATTAGTAGTGTCTATATTTTGTTGCTTTAGTAAATATTACCTTCTTAAAATTATATTTTCATCTCGTTGTTTCTGGTGTATAAAATGCAATTGTTTTATCCATCAATTTTAATTCTAGTAATCTTCTAAAATGTTTTCTTTGCTTATAAAAATACACCTTATCACAGAGTTCCATTTTGGCATGATCACATGAGGAGCTCCACAGAATTGCTCCCCCATGGAACTGGTGAAAATTATAAAAGGAAAACCATTTAACGTCTCTGGAAACAGTCCTGGAGGTAAACAGCAAATGAAGAAACACTTATTCAGGAAAATCTATTAGAGCTTGGTATGAATGGTGAGACTGCGGTGTGTGAGCCAGAATCCACTCTATCCATCCCTTCTCCTGGCTCTGTGAGATGGAAACTCCACTCCAAACTGGTTCAGCCAAGAAGGCAAGGCTCCCTCTCCCCACAGCTAGCAGTTAGAGGGCTATCTTACCAGGATAGGCAGGGTGTCAGCAGTTCTTATTCTGCTCCTAGCTATCTATTGCTGAAACTAAATTTGGGGTCAGTGTGGCCAAGAGGTGGGGTTCCTTTCTTCTTCACAATCCCTCCTTTGCAATAGAGGCTTTACCTGCGCATGGCTCCACTGGGAATATAGGACCTCAATTGCCCTTGCCCTGGCCTATAAGGCAGTGGTTCCACACTGGGAGGGGCAAGCCAAGAAGACTTGAGGTCCTCCAGCACCATGAGCTCAGCTCCTAAAGTAGAGGTGTGGAGTAAGTTTTTCTCTTAAAGAAGTGGAATGGTTTCAGTTTTCACCAACTGAACACCTAACGGATTCATTAGAAGCTTGTTAAGCACATTTAGAAATCCTACTACAGACTAGAGATTCGTATTTCTTCCCATGTGACTTACACAGTCTAGTCCCTGCCTAGTACTCCAGATTCATGTCCTGCCATTCTTCTCTCTCTCTATGTTCTAGCCATCCTGGCCTTTTCTGAACCAAGGATCTTCTCTCCTCTGGGCTTTCATATGTGCTCTTTCTTCTCCCTGATAATGTCTCTACTCTTCCTTAGACCTAATTTGAATTGTTAATATTTATGCATTCTTTATGTCTATGCTTAAATGTCACTTCTTTGTTAATAATTTCCTTTACTAGTTGTCCCCAATCTCCCCAAATAAATTAGTTAGGTAATTTTATAAAAACCTTTATATTTTCATCACTGCACTTATTACAAAGCAATGATATAGTAATGGGGATATGATACACAGTGGGGACACAGAAATAAACTAGGAAACGTCCCAGTAACAAATAACCAATTTAAGATGCATAATGAGTACTCGGCAAATGTTTGCTGAATAAATGAATGACTAAGTCATTATTAGTCATATTTTGTGGGGCTCATATTTATTTCCATTCATATTTTTTTGTCACAGGGGATTAAATGTGGTTCAAAATAAGTCAGTGAGAAAGTTCAATTTCAGGCTATTGGAGAGGATATATAGCCTGAGGTTCCATATGGAAATTTAAGAAAAATATTGATAGTTTACAATTCTTTCTGTAGGCATGCCTCATATCATGTAACATGAGAATTAAACTGAGGATGCTTAGATTCAAATAGAGAAGGCTCAGAGAGGAAGAAAATTGCTCCAAAATATCTGAAATACCATCATGTTAAAGAGGTGCATGCTGGAATTCTCTTTTAGTGAGCTAAAATTGGAGGCTTTAGTCCCACATTCAGCGAAGGGGCACATAGTCTGAATAGGTATCTCTTACGGTTAGTCTAGGAGGAATTTCTTCTTTGATTATTGATATTCGTTCAGTCTTTAAATTATTTGGAACTGGAAAGCAAAGGACTTTCTTTCATACAACATCAATATCCTTATAAGAAAAATTTCCTTTAGTAAGTAAGCCAGTGTGGGAGATCAAAATTGGCCACCACAAAATATATCTCTTTACCTTGATTATTTTCTCTGACTGACATTTGACCTCCCCCACTAACTGCCTAAAGGAATTTAACTCTGGGTATATACAGACTGGCAGGGTCCTTGCTAAGCCCATTCTTTTCAAAGTTCTGTTT